AGTATAATGTTCTCATTCACCACAAACAAGTACAGACCAACATTTGGCATGATTAGTAATTTTAATTAATTTCTAGAAATAATACATAGAATTATGACAATTAAAGGTAGTTTATCACTATAATTATAAAAAAAAAAACAATTCTACTGAATCAAAAGTCTCAATTCATCAGCTCATTAATTCTCCAATTATTTAAAAACAAAAAACAATTCCAAGGTATCTGCATTTAGGCCAGAGACCTGTGACGGGCAACCTTTGATATACCAAAACACAACAGTGGTTTGATTTACCATGGCCACATTTGGAATTTGCTCTACATAAAAAAGCTTAATCAAATCTTATGTGAAAAAAAAGTAGTTCAAAGAAACAATTTGGGATTAATTAACAAACTATTCACAAAAATTCTGAGAAATAGCAATAATTGTGAAATTGAAAGAGTTGTAATACTTGGCTAATATACCGACAGTATGCAAATCTCTTGTCAGTGACAAGATACACAACACAATTTTGAGAATTTATTTGAATATTTGGGAGTTTGACCTCATTAGCTAGGCGATTAGGTGCCGTACGCGAGCGCCGGTTTGAGTCACGCACGCAGTACGTGTTTACTATAATTAGACATAGTCTTTACCTTGCCGTATATTCGGTGTTATTTGCTTACTATAGAGGTCTTTCACGTGACGTCATTAACCCGGAAGTCGGCCATTTTGGAGGTCTACAATTGTGTCGTCTGCGTCGTCTGTGTCGTCTGCAATCATAACAATAGTACGCGTAAATAGATTGATTGTTTGCTAGTGTATCTGTTCATTTCCTTCAGTCATTTCCATTTACTTCTTTCATTGCAAACATGTCTGGCTCTAAATTGAAACCTAAAAATGCTCTCTGTCTGTATCGTGAAACACTTTCTGGTGCAGAACAGCTACGTTATGAAGCAAAACTGTCTACTATTGGGGGCTGTGACCCTTACGTGGTTGATGCTACTAAATGGTCTGCAGACGTCGCCTTGTTACCGTCCGTGACATATCCAGATATTGTGAATTACCTGGTTTTCAATCCTAGCCCTTACACACTGGATGACTTAAAGTGTTACAAAGGTCTTGAAGCCTACAACCAATTTGTTTCCGGTTGGGTGAGAGAAATGAAAACATTTGTGTGCAATGAAAACATTGTAGTATCTGCTAAGGTGAGCACTAATATATGGCATTGTCAGTATTTTTAATAGTCCACTGTTTTCTCAGTCGTGGATGTCCTTTTGTTAAGAGATATATGTCTGTTGAAAATCTCGGTCTCAGTCTGGTGTGTTTTCTATTAACTATAACGATACATTACAATTGTTGTACATCTTGTGCTTTGGGGCTTCAATTACCTCATATTTATTTTTTTACACAGGTCATGCATTCTCAGAGAATGAGTGAGAAGCCCCTACAGCCCTGGATGATAGCGAAACAAAATGGTAGTGTTCTGTGTGCTCATTGTAACTGCATGGCTGGTCTTGTTTGCAGTGGAGGCTACTGTTAGGATTCGAGACTCCAAAACAGTGACTGATGAAAAGGCATATTGGCTTCTACCATCATCTTTGAAATCTGTGACATACAAGAAAATGAATGATATAGACTTTACATCAGCCAAAACAAAAAAGAAACAGTTTGACTTGGCATTACAGACGCAAACTCCCCTGGCTCCAAAAACACCACTGGCTACACTTAACAACATACCACAACCAACAGCTCAAGAACTACAGTCACTTTTCAATGAGTTTCATCTAACTGGGTCAAAGCCTTCACTGCTCTCGTTGGTTCAGCCATTTGCTGCTGGGTTTGTGCCACATTCCAATGATTCCATCACTGCAGATGAAAGTTACCCACCAGCTTTAACAACATTATATGATGTCAACTATAGCAACTTAAATTATAAAGAGTTACTGGAGAAGTGTTCAACAGTTCAAATAACAGTGACGGAACAACAAATAAAAAATGTTGAGTCACATACTAGAGAACAGGCTAAATCAAATAGATGGTTCCAGTTTAGAGCAGGCAGAGTAACTTCATCAACGTCCAAAATAGTATGCAGAACCAACCAAGACAGCCCTTCGATAAGCCTAATATCATCCATCTGCTATCCCATGCTTTCCAAGTTTTCAACTGAGGCCACTAGATGGGGATGTGAGCATGAAGACACTGCCTTGCGTGAATTTTTCGAAGTGATGTCTCAACACCATGAAAATGGGCATATAGAAAGAAGGGGACTTGTAATTTACCAAGACCAGCCATTTATTGCAGCTTCCCCAGATGGTGTTTTCATTTGTGACTGCTGCAGTACATCTTGTATAGAAATCAAATGCCCCTTCAATCTACGACATGAAAATCTTGATGGCTATGATTACCTGAAGAAGGAGAATGGCGTAGCAACACTTGTGAAAGATCACAGTTACTATTACCAAGTCCAGACTCAGTTGGGTGTATGTAATTTACAGCAGGGGTATTTTGTAGTTTGGACTAAGAATGACATGCACATTGAAAGTATAATGTTTGACGAAGAGCTTTGGGTAACAATCTGTGAACGTTCAAAACATATATTTTACACCGCAATAATGCCAGAACTTCTGGGAAAATTTTACACCAGCAATCACAAAGAAGTCAGCAATGATGGTGCAGCCTCTACGTCCAATAGCAATGATGATAATCTGTATTGTTATTATAACCAAGAAGAACAAGGCAACATGGTTGCCTGTGACAACACAGAATGTGCTCTTGTCTGGTTTCATTTCAAATATGTTGGAATTAGACATATATCAAAGGGAAAATGGTTTTGTCCTGACTATAGGAAACTACCAGAATACAGAAGGAAGAAAAGATTGTGTGATGCAGCCATATTGACATTATGAAACAGTACATCTCTCAATGTTATGTAGTCAATATTTATTTGCATTTTTTCACCCAGTATCATTCTTTTATATATCCAATATTTATTTACATTTCATTACAAAATATGATGCAGTCAATATTTAATTGCATTTTTTTACCCAGTATCATACTTTTATATATCCAATATTTATTTACATTTCATTACTAAATATGATGCAGTCAATATTTATTTACATTTTAGTGAGTGTGCCTCCATGTTAAGCAATATTTTGTTTACATTTTTATTATTTCCAGTACAAGGCAGCCAATGTTTATTTTTATCCATTTTTTTTTAATTTGTACAGTAGTTTCAATTCTGACATTTAGAAAAGAAATTATGACACTGATAATGCTACATGATATCAAGACAAAATATTTTATTTCATATTTACAAAAGCATGCTATTAAGTGGGTGTACATAAAAAGTGTAAGTACCTGTGAAATATGCCTGAATATTGTTCAATTAAAATCTACAACAGACTCAGAGAGGTTTGCTAATGAACAACATACGTGTGCTATTTTGTCTACCATTGTTGTACCCTGGTCATCTTTAGAAATAAATAAATTGATTGGAAGAGTACTACCCAGTATTGTATATTTCTGTCGCACCATTCCAATGACCCTTTCCACATGAATTCTTACATTAGCTATTTTTCTGGTTGTTTCAACATCAACTGCAGACAATTGGCTTTTTCCCCGGGTAAATGCAGGAATCTTGAGTTCTGCACAAACAGAACCAACACTCTCCTGGATATTAAAACCACGATCAGCCAGTATCAAATCTCCTGGTAATAAATTGTCAAGAATGCCACTATTTTCTGTAATGTGTTTGTCACTCACTCTACCACCCCAAGCTCTAGACAAAAATGACACAGTACCCTGTGGTGTAATGCCCAGCAAAAATTTGGCTGTATTGTGGTGTTTATAGGAAGACCATGTTTCAGCACGTGCTTTCAGATTTGATGGTCTTTCTATAAACACCTCAAAACAGTCAATAATTACTGCACATCTAGAACCACAATGCTGTTTAAACTGCATTGGCATAGTCATCTTCAAAGTCTCCCTATCTGGCCAAAAAACGAATGGTTTTGTGCGAATGTACATAACATTAATAACTGAAGTTATAATTCTTGACACTGAAGCAGGTGAAATGGAAAACTCATAGGCTAAAAATTGTACTGACAAATTCAATCGAAGTCTCATTAATGTTAACATAAACATTCTAAATTTGTCTAAAGACGTACGAGGAGGTAAGTGTTGTTCTATGAAATTGTACAATGAAATTAAAATGGCAAATGAAGAGATGCCAGTAAAAAATTTTACTTTTTCATTGTCTCCCTCTAAGTCTACCTGTGACATTTTATTTGTATATTTAGAAAGTTGTTCTTTCAATGATTGGTTTTCTGTTCTTAGAGCTTGGAGTTCATTCCCCATTGATTTTAACATAGAGGTAGTTAGGTCTGTTTGAGTGCCAAACTCAGTTGTACTTGTAGCGTTTTCCTTGTTTTCCAACGCCAACCCCTCTTCCACAATGACGATCTTTTCCTCTGCTTTTCTTTTCTGTCTATTGTGGAGCCTATTGTACCTGTTTACTGCCATTGTTTGCTTCAGAACATTCTCCCTGTGCCCGACATTGACTGTTGGCACCCAGTTTGGGTTACCTTTGTCATAGAGCCGGGCCTTTTCACCTGCGGGAGACACAATAAAATACACTTGATTATCATATTATCGATTTTCTCTACCACCTATTCCACTGGGTTTTATCAAATTTCAATGCCTGGTGATAAATAAAATTGAAATTGTAAACAGCGAGAAACCTACCACCAATAAAATGTGCCGAGCATATTCTGATGTTACCCATGTTTCGGTTTTCAAATTTCTGTCCGAGGCTAGCCAGCCATTCTCGTCGCCTTTCACTACTCAGATTTTCGCAATCTTCGCCTTGATTTACCACTACTGCTGGTAATCGATAAAATTGCAAATGTTTGTCCCGATCTTTTCGATTTGTACATCCAAAAACTACACATTTCAAAACCATTTTTGAGAAGACGATCGACCTTGTGTTACGCAATAACAACAATACGAATGAAGGCCTCCAAGATGGCGGCGCGTCTCATTGTCAAGGGAACAATGACGTCGGTGAAAGACCTCTATAGTAAAAAATAGTACAAATGTACTGAAATACATGCAAAGTTGGCATGGAATAAAAAAAAATCAGAGCATTAAGTAAACACAGAGCTTGACAGAATTTATCCACCAATCAACTTTAATCCGAACGAACTGTATATCAGATACATGAACAACGGCCATGTACAACATTACATGTACAAGAATGGGACGTCCTGCTAGCCTGTTCGCTTCGAAAATTGGAATTGAGATTTCTCTGCAAGTTTTGTAAAATGGTGGCTGAAACTTTCTAGAAATGAAATTGAACCTGAACCTCACTGATTGCGGCACATTACACAGCATAACTTGGTGATTTTGTTGAGAAACGGGTAAAATACTTACCGTTGCTAACACTGCTTTTGGAGGCAGCCATGTTGTTTACGCCCTCACATCAAAATATGTTCAAAGCTTGAGT